GTGATGCGGGTTTTGGTAAGAGTTCGACATGCGCGCGCGGCCGACGCGCGAGAGTGGCCCGCATGGTTTTATGTGACACGGATCGTGCCCCCCAGCACGCGCGCAAGGGCGTGTGAATGATGTCGGCATGCGGCGCCAAAGGCCTGCTTGGCAGAACTGTATGAAAACATTTTAAAATTAGTTGCCCTAAGAATTCGCACGTGCGCGCGCGCAAGCTTGTTTGGAAAGCTGATGTTGCGAAACCACGTGTTGTTCGGATGTTGCTTGGACATTCGGTGTTGCAAACGCTACGCAACCGAAGGTTTTTGAAGGATTCCGGCATGCGCGCGCGACGACGCGCGCGCGTGCACTTCGTCATACGTTTTGCAAAGGATCTTCGCGACGGCACGCGCGCAAGGGCGTCGAACGATTTTGACATGCGCGCGCGAAGCCCGTTTGGCAGCATGTTCTGCACATGTTGAAACCATCGGTTTGCCTAACAATTTGCAAGAGCGCGCGCGCGCCTTTTTTGAAAATCCGTGTTGCGAAACCAGGTGTTTATATATATATATGTATATATACATTCTTTGTTTGGTCACTCGATATCCAATTCCTTTTAACATTTTAAAATTAGTTGCCCTAAGAATTCGCAAGTGCGCGCGCGCAAGCTAGTTTTGAAAACTGATGTTGCGAAACCACGTGTTGTTCGAATGTTGTTTTGACATTCGGTGTTGCAAACGCTACGCAACCGAAGGTTTTTGAAGGATTCCGGCATGCGCGCGCGACGACGCGCGCGTGTGCACTTCGTCATACGTTTTGCAAAGGATCCTCGCGACGGCACGCGCGCAACGGCGTCGAGCGATTTTGACATGCGCGCGCGAAGCCCGTTTGGCAGCATGTTCTGCACATGTTGAAACCATCGGTTTGCTCAACAATTCGCAAGAGCGCGCGCGCACGCCTTTTTTCTGAAAATCCGTGTTGCGAAACCAGGTGCTTTTACATATTCTTTGTTTGGGCACTCGATATTAAATTCCTTCCGAAACCTAAGGTTCTTTAAGGATTCCGGCATGCGCGCGCGACGACGCGCGCGTGTGCATTTCGTTCATTTATGTTGCACGGGGTTCCTGGACACAGATGATTTGTGATAAACGAGTGCGCGCGCAGAATTTGTGGCAGAGGATGACGGGGGGGTGCGGGTACCAGCTGGGCTGGGATGATCTGAGTTCTTATTTCGGATGGACGATGTGGCAGATTCGTGTGCAAATTGTAATTCGAAAAGGGGTTACGATAATCCCGGGGAGGGGGTATAATCTCTTCTTCGACGAGGAGGATCTACGTGGTGCAATATACGTTGTGCGATTAAGTTTTGTCCGCGGTGAGATGTCAACTCCATTGCTTGCGCTATCATCCCATCCACCCACGCGAGACTTGGTTTGCATAAGCCCACGCGGCGGCGATTGCGAGGAGTGTATGGTGTTGGCTGGTGCGTCTCCGCGGCCGCGCCAGCATGTGCATGCTCGGGCGCGCAGCGGCCAGCTAGTTTGGCGCGACCAGCGCAGCCGCGGTGGCGCTGACCGCTGAGCACTTCCCAGCGGGCACTTCACTGCGAGTCGGCGACTTGGGCGGGCGCGGTATCAAGGCAACATCGCCAACGGTAAATACGAGGATGGTAGTAGCGATGTTGGCGACGATGATGACAGCGACGACGGCAAGGTCATTGACGGCGCCGATTTTGATCATACCGACGACGATGACGACGTCCTAAGGTCGGTGATGAAGGTTCCGGAAGGAGTTCGACATGCGCGCGCGGCCGACTTGCTAGAGTGGCCCGCGTGGTGCGATTTGACCAGCACGCGCGCAAGCGAGAGGTTATTTGGGCAGAATTTCATGACACGGTTGGAGAAAAAACAACAAAAACAAAACATGTTTCTGAAGTGGTCACACAAGCGCGAGCGCAGTTTTTTTCACACACCTATATATATATATATATATATATATAAATAAATAAATAAACGGGCGTTGCAAAACCATGTGCTTCATATGTTTTCGGCACATTCGATTTTGACATTTTAACGAAACCCAAAGTTGTTGAGGGAGTCCGGCGTGCGCGCGCGACGATGCGAGCGTATGCACGTCGCCCCACTTCTGCTGCAACGGATTCTTGCGACAGCACGCGCGCAGCGGCTCTCGAACGATTCCGGCACGCGCGCACGAGAGACCCGCTTGGTAGCATGAAAATGGGGAAAACAATAGTTTCCACAATATTTCACAAGAGCGCGTGCGCAAATTTTGTTTTACACTCCTGTTGCGAAACCGTGCGATGTGTTATCTACGGTTCGGGACTCGATTTTGAAGCCCTTTGCGAAACCGAGCGTGTTCGAAGAATGTTGGCATGCGCGCGCGACGACGCGCGCGCGTGTGCACTTCATTCATGTATGTTGCAAGAGGTTGTTGAAAAGGTAGTGGTTGTTGATAAACGAATTCACGCGCATAGTAATTGTTGCGGAGGATGATGGGGTGGCGGTACCGGCCTGCCTGGGATGGTACGACCTCAAATGTAGGGTGGACGATGGAGCTGAATCGTATGTAGATTGCTATACGAAAAGGGGGGCCGTAGTTCCGGGGGGGCGGTGATCCTGTAACTCTTCTGGGAAAAGAATCTAGGCGGCGACGGGGCGGCGACGAGGCGGCGACGGGGCGGCGACGGCGGCAACATAGCCGCCAGAGCGGCAGACAGGCCCTGACGACGTGGCGACAACGAGGCGGCGACGGGGCGGCGACCGCGGCAACATAGCCGCCAGAGCAGCAGATAGGCCCAGTCCCTTGGAAGAGAATCCAGGACCCCTGAGTGCAAGCATTGCTTGGGAATGGAGATCCTAGAGACGTCGCCCAAGATGGCCCCAATGAGGCCTGAGCCTATTCGACAGACCACAGCCACCCTGGTCCACTCCGGCAGCAAGCATCAGAGCGGCTCCACGAGGGCCCACGCGCCGTCCCAGACGCCCCAGGGACCATTCACGATGCTGCCGCGGGCAGCTTCAGCGCCTCCAAGACGGCCCAGCACGGCCACCTCCCTCCTCCATCCCCCCCCCCCCAGCTCATCCTCATCCTTCCCCCCTCGGCGGCGAGCCGGGGGGGGAAGTGAGAGGGGGCGGGCCTTCTCAGAAAGCTCGGAAGTCCCCCGGCCTCCTGAGAGGTTTGCTTGGCCTGCCCCGAAGACGCGGAATATTTCTCAGAAGGCCAGAGGGCTCCTGAGAATCCCCGCCGCCTTCTGAGAAGGCCTTCTCCTTCTCACTTCCCCTCCTCGCTCGCCGCCGATGTTCATCCGCATCCTTCCTCCCGTCTTCGCTCTCCGCTTTCCGCTCTGCAGAGGAGGCCTCCGTGCCGCGCCCGCCGCGCCCGCGCCCGCGGGGCACGCCCGCAGGGGGTGCCGGGGAGAGGCCGCACCTGCCAGAGCAGGGTGCGCTTCGACTCCCCCGGTCCGATTCGACTCGACTTCGATGGCTTCCGATTCCGATTCGATTCGACTCGGGACTCCGATTTAGGTTCCGATGTTTCATCTGAGGCCTACTAGCCTGCCGATTCCCGCCGACTCGACGTTCCCCGACTTGGCTGCCGATTTCCGCAGATCCGATGAATTTCGATCGCCGATCCGACTTGTCGATTCGATTCTGGGCTCTCTTGCCAGAGGTAGGCCAGGGCCTTCCACCCGCTGCCCCGTGCCAGGTGCTTCGCATGTGCTCACACAGTCCACACGCTGAACCCAGACCCCCTCGGGCAATGAAAAACATCATGCAGGGAGGTTCCGCATTTCCCGGCAACTTTTTTCCTCATGCAGGTCGGCCTCAAGGGATCAAGAACAAATCCGGGACGCCCTCAAGCTGTGACAAAAAATCACTACGGGAGTTTTGTTCGCTAGTCTCGGCCTTGGGGGGCCTCACCAGCCTTCGGGACCGTCAAAACATGATTGAGGATGATAAAGCGGTCCAGGAGAATGGGTCGGGACCTCTGAGGGTCGACGTTTGGAACGAAACGAGAAGACATGACGTCGGGGGTTTTGGAAGGCTGGGGGACTTCCGAACCTTCTGAGAAGGCCTTCTTCTTCTCGCTGCCCCCCTCGCTCGCTGCCGGCAGGTCCACACGCTGAACCAAGGATTATGTCGGGCCTGTCCCTCCACAGGAGGGAGGTTCACGAAAAGTCAAAACATCGTCTGGGGACGATTGTTTGTTACTAGTTTGAGCATTAGATGGGTACTTCTTGACTCTTTTTATTTCTTCATCCAAAATCGGCTACACATAAGAGTGACCTTTCGCCGGAGTGACTTTTGTTGCGGGCCCAACGGGGTCCCCCGATCGCAGAACGCTATGCGCACCAAAGGTCACTCTTACCCAGGGTCTCTCTTGCGTGTAGTCGACAAAATCCGCCTGTAGGAAGACATGCCCGACCTAAACCAGGGACCACTTCGGGGCCCAGCTCGGGAAGCCTTCACCACAGGGCCGAGGCGCGCCGTGGCCAGGCGTGCCCCCGGTCCGTGCCTGACCCGGCGACCCCTGCTGGGCCGCAGCCGCCGTGGTCCCGGAAGCGCGCAGGAGGCAAGAGGGACGCCCTCAAGAGGACCCCAACCCTGAGATCCGACGCTCCCAAAAAATTGGAGCAGGCGGTTTTTGGCCGTTTTCGGCCTCCGGGGGCCCTCGCCGGGCTTCGGGAGCGTCAATTTTCCCGGTGTGGGGCTACTTATGTCGTTGACAGCACCGCGAAAATGCACCAGGGGAGCGGGGTCCCGACCAGACCTCGCAAGGCGAGTGCCTTGCTAGGTGGAGTGGGGGGGCTCAATGCCTCTTGAGCCGCCGTCCCCCTCAGGGTTGCCGTCGCGGTGAGCTCGTGTCTGTGAGCAACGTGTGCATCCGGGCGCACTCATAAGAATCCAAGGAGGTTTCGGTACGGCGATGCATGGTGGTAGCGCGATGACTGTACAGCGAAGCAGCGCCTGTCCTACCGAACCCCCTCCTCCCCCCTCCAGGTGATCACGGACTTCTTCGACAAGTTGCAGTCCGTGACCTCGGGGTACGCCACGTTCGACTACGAGCCCTCGGGGTACGCGACCGTGGACCTGGTGAAGGTCGCCGCACGCCCCCGTCGACCCCGTCCCGCTGGTTCCCGCGCTGCTCCCTCCCCTGCCTCCCCGCGACCTCGGAGGAGGCTCTGGGAGGCTCTTGGGCCTCCAACGCGGAACTCTCAGGGGGGGGGGGGGGCCAGGCGTAGCAGGGGGGCAAGAAGGGTTCCCTGCATGTGGGTGGCTCTGGAAGGCGCCTGGGTTTCCAGAGCGGAGCTCTCGGGGGGGCCCAGGCGCAGAAGGGGGCAAGGGGGAAGCTTCCTTGTGCACAGGCTCCTCGCTGCGCCGCCGCCGTGTGCAGCACGAGGATAGAAATTGTCACGTGGTGGTCCGCTTCCTTGACCGGCGTGTTGCTGCATTCATGCTCGTGTGGATGCGGTGTCCGCACCCTCGTCGCAGGAAGGTCGCAGAATGGGCGCGCAGGAGGAACTGCACGGAGCCCAAGGAGGATGAGAAGCAGGAGGAGGGGAGGATCATCCTTCACTTGCTCCTGCTTCTCCCCGAAATCCTTCGAGGAGGAGCCGGAGGAGGAGGAGGAGGAGGAGGAGGAGGGTAATCGGACCGAGGCAAAAAAATCGAGGCTGGTTCGGGGAGGGTGCCCTATTGTTCTTCGTGTCTTTGGGATGTTCTTGTGCATCCTGGGGAGGGTACTTGGGATGGTATGCATGCTTTGGCTGGCGGGGGGTCTCATGTGCTTGAAGGATGTTCCTCGGGCCTAGATTCGACTGTATGATCCCGCTTCTGTGAATCATCCCCATCACTTGCGCCGTTTCCGCTACAACGCCCACGTGCACCAATGTCTCACGGTCCAGGCATACTTGTCGCTTGTCGTAAGGATGCCAGCAGAGTTCAACGTAATGCGGACATGGTCAAATTTGTATCGATGCTCGTCTGTACAGTCGAAACGAAGGTAAGGATAATCGATTTCCCAAGGGTACCCACCCGTGCATCCTTGCCTCTTTGGTCATCTTCGGTCCCTCCTCGACGATTTTCGATGGCCAGCCCCTCTCGAAGAGCTTCGGCATGGGCGCCCAAGGGGCCTGCACCCTCCTCGCGCCTCCCTGCTCTCAGTTCTGACTGTACCGAGACCTTGGCATCGCTCGAACGTGTGTATTTTTTTGGTGGTAACCGTCGAGGATCATCCTGACCATCGAGCAAAAAAAAAACACGCACGAATACGAAAAGTGCACCCGGAATGGACGCCTCAGCGACGGCGAGAGACGGCGCCAGAGGCCAGCAGCGAGGTTCGCGAGAGCAGCTCCAATACCATCCCCCTGCCAGCGCCACCGCCCTCTTTCGGCCCCGGCCGTGCCGACCAGGGCACCCAGGCCGGCCGGCGCCGCGCCCGCCCGCCCCCTCTCAGGAGGGGAAAAAACACAGACACAAGTAGTCGTCGATTCCCAAGAAAATATGGGAAAATATGGGAAGTGGGGGGGGAAGACAAAACCCCAGAAAATATAGAAAAATATTGGGGATCCTGTTATTTGTGTGTGTATTTATGTGTGTGTCCCAGGGCCCCTTCACGCCTCCTCGCCCCCCGGAACACTCCGACGCCGCGGCTTTTTTGCCATCGCGCCGCCCCTCCCCGGAGAGCCGGCCATGCGCAGAGGGGGGCACGCAGGGTGCGGGAGGAGGGCTCCTTAGACTCGGCATCGCTCGGACGTGTGCAGTGTTCCTTCGGCGAGGACCCTCGCGGAGCACCCCTGATCATTTGGCGAAGAAGCCACCCACGAGACGCCAAAAAGCGCAGGGGGTGGACGTCCGAGCGACGGCCAGTAGAAGCACCCCGGCTTCTCAAGAGGCGCGGGCCCCGTCTAGAGATGCAGGGCCGGCGCCTTCTAGGAAGCAGCCTCCTGCTGAGAAGCCTTCCCCCCTCCCCTGTCTAAAAATGCAGGGCCGGCGCCTTCTAGGAAGCAGCCTCCTGCGGAGAAGCCTCCCCCCCTCCCCCATTTACCCCCTTAAGTGCGCGCCGCCGAGGAACTGCGACGCTGTGAGTTTACAGAACGCCGAACACCCTGGAGGTCTGGGCCCTTTCCCGGGGCCCGCTTCACCCTGCGCCGTTTTGTTCGCGGCCCCGAGGCCCGGCGAGAGCCCCTGGAGGCCGAGGATGGCCAACCTCCCGCCCACTCCCCCCGAGAGCCGCCGTTGCGGACACGTTGCAGCATCGCGCAAAGCCACGACTGGAGCGCCGGGCCCCATCTCTCCGCGCCCCTCTTCAAGCCAGATCGATATGTGAGCTTCTCGGGGCCCGAGATTTCCAGCGAGCACGCCCAGGTCGAAGACGTGGCGACGCCCGGGGACCGGAGGGGACGAGAGCGCTCCAAAAGCCTCGAGCTTCTCGAGCTTCGAGCCTGCCCCCTAGCACTGCCCTGGGGGGGCTGAGCCCTGGGGGGGCCAGATTTTCAGGCCCAGGCCTCTGGCGGGGGGGCTGTTTTTTCTTCGTCTCAGCCACGCACGCACGCACGCCCGCCGCCCGCCCGCCCGCCCGCCCGCCCGCCGCCGCCCGCCGCCCGCCCGCCCGCACACACACACACACACACACACAGACACACACACACACACACGCACACACACACACACACACACACACATCGCAAAAAGTCACGACCGCAGCCGCGGACCCAATCTTTCTGCTTCGTTTCTCGAGCCTGATCGATCTGTGAGGGGCCTGGGGCCCAAAATTGTGCAAAAAAAATCGAGCCCAAAACGGGGCACGTGCGGCGCGGTACGGCGCGCCCCTCGGCCGCGGCGCGCGGAGCCCACCCTGAGCTCCGACGGCGCGAAGCGATTCCTCCTCCCTCCTCCCTTTCCTCCCCCCCTCCTCCTCCTCCTCCTCCTCCTCCTCCTCCTCCTCCTCCTCCTCCTCCTCCTCCTCCTCCTCCTCCTCCTCCTCCCCCTGCCTCGGCCTTCTTCTTCGAAGCTTCAGGAGCTCCCCCCGAAGGCGCAGGAAACGTCCCAGAAGGCGCGAGGGCTTCTGAGCTCCTCCGCTTCCTTCCGAGAAGGCCTGCCCCCACGCCACTCCCCCCACCCCCGGGGCCGCCGCCGCAGAGGCCCGGGGCCCTCGGGTCGATCCGTGTGCGGGCCCCGGGCCCGACGTCGTGCGGCAGCGCCCGCCCCGAGAAAGCCACGGCGCCGGGGCCTCTCCGGCGAAGAGGCCCGGGGCCCCCCGCGTCGACCTGTGCGCGGGCCCCGGGGCCCGACGCCGTGCGGCAGCGCAGCGCCTCGAGAAAGCCACGGCGCCAGGGCCTCTTCGGCGCCCCCTCGCGGCGGGCGCGCGGCGCCGGCGCGGCATGGCCGCGCCCGCCGCGCCGCAGCCGCCGCCCAGCGGCCCCGCCGCAGAGGCGGAGACGCCCACCCGCGGCCCCGCCGCGGCGGCGGAGCCGCCGCCGGAGGAGCGGGCCAGGAAGGGAGCCTGGCATGAAGTCGGGCCTGTCCCTCTAAAAGGGGGAAGATTCAAACACAGGCAGAAAGTGGTCGGGGGGCGATGCCTCGAATGCATTTGGCCATGCGGGGGCACGTATTGCGGATCGTTTTCCAGGTGTCCTACAAAGGCCGTCCGTAGGAGGGCATGCCCGTCCTGAGCCTGGCACGGTACGTGCAGTGCCCGGGGTGGCGGCCCGGCGGCCCATCCCACCATTAGAGGCGGGCGCGAAGCCCTTTACGGCGGGACGCGGTGGGCACGAGCGGGCGTCATAGCCGGCTCCCAGCCACAAGAGGCTTCCTTTGCCTCATCGTTCCTCTTGGCATTGACTTCATGCCATGTGTAATTAGCATGTTCTCCCCTCGTGAGAAAACCTGTGGCGGGAGACGTTTGGCAGCTCTCGGCCTCTGGGGGGCCCTGGCGGGGCCCTGGAGCGTCAAGAAGCCACGCAGGATGAAGAAAGCCGGTCCCGGGAAAACGACGACGACGAAGACAATGACGGAGACCACGACGACGACGACGACGACGACGACGACGATAACGATAACGACGACGACGGCCACGACGACGACGATGACGACGACTTCGAATACGACGGCGACGACGACGTCGACGACGCCGACGACGACGACGATGACGATGACGATGACCATGACGATGACGACGAGCACGACGACGAGGACGAGAGCAAGGACAACGGGTAACGACGACAGCGACGACAACGACGCGACAACAGCGACGACAGCAGGAACCACGAGGATAACAACGGCGACATCAACGACGAACAAGATCATGACGGCGGCCCCACCGCGGCGGCAAGGCTGCCGCCCGAGGAGCCTCCCCCCGCAGCCGGCGAGGGCGCCGCGGGCGCGGCCTCTGGGCTCGGCGGCCTGGCGCGCGGGCTGCTCTCCAGGCCAGAGCGCGCCGGCCCTGAGATCCTCCTCTTCCCTCCTCCCGCTCCTCCTCCCTCCTCCTCAGCCTCCTCCCTCCTCCCTCCATCCTCCGCCATCCTCCCCCCCCCTCCTCCTCCGCCCTACACTCCTCCTCCTCCTCCTCCTCCTCCTCCTCCTCCTCCTCCAAGCCCTTCCTGCTCAGGCCAGGGGGAATTGGGGCTCCCTGTCAGGATTTGATGCAGGCTACACCCCTACCGCCTGAAGCCCCAGCTCCCGCCCACCATGTGGGCCTCTCTCCTACAAACTGCGCTTTATAACCCACTCTCTCTTAGCGACACATGGCGGGCACATGAGGTTTCTACTCGCTTGAGCTTCGCAGACCTGATACTGTTGCCAGGAACACAGCAGCGCCGCCGCGCAGGAGACCCCCCGACCAGGATGAAGCTGGAGAAGCACACGATGGTGCAGTTCGGGTGGCAGCGGGGGAGGTACACAAATAAAAGCGCGGGATGCGCCATCATGCTCAGACGACGGGCTTTCAGGGAGGCCCACGTTCATGAGGTACTGGAACCACCACGAGAACTGGCGGGACGGGGAGGGGCAGTTCGACTCAAGAGTCCGACCTTCGACATCATGGTTGTGGTTGCCTACTACCCGCCCCCACAGAGGCATCAGATCGACCATTGGAATAC